CACACACACACACACACACACAGAGTGAATCCAAGCTGAATTCATCAGACTCCATGAAGGCGTGAGATACAAGCTTCTTCTTCATATCGTAAACTGCAGGAGGCGAGTTTTTGATTTTTGAGAGATTTTTATTTGGTTGAAATATTCCATGCAAGTTCTTAGGGAGCTGTCCATGGTGCTGAACCTACGAGGCTCTTTAAACTGACGGAACGCTCTATTCACTATTCAAACTGGTATTTACACAGAGGCAGCAGCTCAATACAACCTGAGACAAAGACACAAGATCATCATCATTCCATTCAGATGCGTGGAAGGATGATGATGATGAGGAGGGACCCCACTGTGTGTCAACTGTAGGATACTAGTTATATATTCCCTGGCGGCTAACTGACTTAAAAGCATTATGACGTCCTGATTATACTCAGATGTTTACATTTAACACCATTTTTTATTCACTCTGAACCGGTGTTGACGTTCAGACACTATGTTCAAATAGCTATATGGGATACTTCCTTTACTTATAAGGCAACATGAAGCTGTAACATATGAATACATATTTTAAATCTACTGAATCATTATTTATTATTAAATAAGAAGTAATAGTGCACCATCACCTCAAGAGTAAACCATAAATCTGTCCCAGCAAAATACATTGCGGACGTATGATGTAATAAAAACACCAAGAGATAAACAGAGTTGAAATTAATAGATTGCTCCTATGGATCAGCTCTGTTGTTATAAATACCCACCACGTAACAGAGCAGTATCCTATGTCAGTATCAGATATTAGGATTTTAATTTAATCACACTCTCTCTCCTGAAATTACAAATCATAATCCATTTATCATGTCAGTATGACCTTTCAGAATTCATAATCCATACATCATAGTTCCCAGTGTGATGGAAGGATTACGTCCTCATGAGCTTCCCTCACATTTGCATTCTGAGGCTGTGGAGGAACTTCATTATGTTCCAGCATTTTGACTTGAAGAGCAGAATATTATATTAACTCAACATCTCATTACGTGAACAGGAAAGTTACATTATGTTCAAAGGCTGGAAACTGATTTTGTGGTTTTCTTATTTAAAGCACATGTGAGCCAGCGGATCATACTGTACACTCCTCCGGCCTCAGATAACACAGTTACAGACCTGCTCCCTGACTGAATAATACATACACACGCACACACGCACACACACACACACCCATACACACACACACACACACACACGCACACACGCCTCCCTGCAGACACATTTTCTGAAGTGAAATCTGAGACCAGGCGACCTAATGTTGTTTAACAGTCTGCAAGTGTGTGTGTGTGTGTGTGTGTGTGTGTGTGTATTATAGTGATTCGAGACATTGGTAGATTTAGAGCTATTTCGGGGTTTTGTGGTTTTCATTGGTTAGTGTTGGATCATTCTGTTTGTGATGACTATGGTTAGCTTTGAGTATCAGAAATATAAATGTGGGTGTGATGCTGCAGGAGGCTTATCAACAAGCTCACTCACTCGCTCTCAGCGTGTTGCATGTGATTTATTTTCATGCTTCCATTATTCACTATCATGCTAATATTCTAATCACTGGACTTCCAACAACACAATAGAGTAGAATACCAACACCTCACAAAGTGGCATCCCTGCTTCACAACCAAAATTCTTAATTTATGTTGGTTTTCTTATTTTCTTTGCCCACAAAGCTTCCTGACATATTCTACCATCACTGTAAACTGCCTCAATCATCATCAAATACCCAAAGAAATTCATTTTTGTCAAATTTTATCTTGATACACAGACATTTCCACCAAATCCCTGAAGTATATGACTCATATATAGTAAGACCTACAACAGATGGATGTGAATGTGCTGTATTTGACTGCAGTACTCACCCTCTGGTCTGTACTGCGCTACTATGGTAACGGTCTGTCCCGCGTTCTTCAGCGCTGCAGCCGCCTGCTCATGTGTCGCACTGGACAAGTCCACGCCGTTCACCTACACACCGACAAGGACAAAAAAACATTAGCGCCCACGCTGGATCGATAGCAATAAATGTATAGCGAGATGAGTACAGCATTAGGGACGCTGTCAGTCTTAGTGGGTCGATACCTCACAGGTGACCAGTCACATGTGTGTGTGTGTGTGTGTGTGTGTGTGTGTGTGTGTGTGTGTGTGTGTGTGTGTGTGTGTGTGTTCACGTGTAGTGTGTGTACTTTATGCAGGCTTGTTTCAAGCATAGAATTCTTGCATTTCAGTACTTGCATACATTAATACGTAACACAGACACAGTCCTGCAGGGATTGTCTGGGGACTTAATCCTTTTAAAATCTCGTCTGAGGAAGATTAAATCCATATTTCACTTTTGGGTGACGGGGGTTAATAATGCACTCATTTCCCCTCAGACTTTAGTGGCGACTGACTGAAGGGTTCACTGACTCATTGCAGAAGCTGTGAATCAAAGTTTCTGCAAAGATTTCTGTTAATGTGACTCTGCATCAATAATGTACAGAGACATAAACACGACATTAACCCACAGAACGAGTCCCTGGGTGACGCTGTATAATCTCCACAGCAATAACTGCAGAGTCCAAGTTATTTATAAAAGTAATGGTGACAGGAGTTGTGTTGACTTTATTAGACGTTAGCTCATACCGACAGGATGCGGTCTCCCTTCTGCAGCTCCCCACAGAGATCGGCCGGACCTCCAGCCAGAATGAAGGAGATGAAGATTCCTTCTCCGTCCTCTCCGCCGACGATGTTAAAACCGAGACCCGTGGACCCTCGCTGCAGCACCACCCGCCTGGGTTCTCTGAAAGACAAATCAAACACGTACACTGTCATACCATAAAAACCACAACAGATGGTGGGATCCAACATTTGAATGCACATTAGAGCAGGATTGCAGTTTTTTGATCAAACAAACAATAACTTTGATCAATCAGTTGTGACTCAGACAGTTCATATTGCTTCATCGCTGCTTAAAGTTCAAGTCAAGCTGAAATTAAATTTCTCAACCACATTAAATTTCAAGGAGCATCGAGAGGAGCTCCAGAAATTATATGATTTTAAACAAATAACCCAAAAGTATATTGTATATGTTTTCTTGATGTATAACAGCTGTGAGCCTGTAATGTGGAGATAACTGGTAGATATTTCCCCTTTGTGAACAGCAGATGTCAGTGTTGCATTGCGTCTGTTTTGTTCAACCACCACGGTTTGTATCTCCATCCTGACGACGCACTGCTGACTCAGTTTGTTTTTTATACAAATGGTTTGATTCTTTAGCAACTCAGACATCAGTGACTGGAAGATTACCACAAAACGTTGTGGAAGGATGGACGGAAGAACTCATTACATCTTGAGCATAGGGTGGATCCAAGAGTATGTTTCACTTTACTCAACATAAAGTTAGAAAGAGAGTTTTTAACATTTTCACAGGATTCCCTGGAAATAATTTATGGATCATGATTTATAAAAATCTGATATATTTAGGGGACTGATTTCTATAAGTGTGAGACATTTGGTGCAGCTTGATTGAAGTTAAAGGTTGGGCCTTGGCAGAGGTATGTGGTCTACTGCATTCTACTTAACATAGAAACCATTTCAAGTATCCAGCTGTACTACTTACAACACAGGCTACTGTATATGATCAAATTCACTGGGTCACTAGATCACAGTAGTATTAGTAGTAGTAGTAGTGGTAGTAGTGGTAGTCGTATAAGTTACATTACTTACATTCATTTCAGTGAATGTAACTAGATACAGTCATTTAAAGTGGGTGTACACGGAACTGGGGCTGTACCAGGCAAAAAATGACCAATGTGAAAGAAACACTCATTTAAAATTTAAAATGACCGCCTGACGATGTGGCTGCTGCTACGACCTACACGTTTTCTCACAAACAAATAAGAACACAGCCTGAAATAATGCACCAAAGGAATGACGCCTCTTTTCCTAATCTTTTCCAAACACGACTGCGATAAAGAGTCTCTCTTAGCATCATTGTTTTCCACTGAGGTGGCTCAGAGGGATGACGCACGCTGATGACGCGTGGTTCCTGTGTATTGACAGAGCCGGTGATTCATGAGATGTTTTCACCGTCTTCAGGCGACACACAACAAACCAGGTTTATTAGGTCCATGTCGCACAGTGGGGTCGGCAATAAACTAAGATTGCTGAAGTCTCACGGTCCCTCTGCGCCACAGTTTAAGTCATATTACCTAACATAAAAATTAATTCCAATGAGTTCCACGCAGTGAGGTCAACAGATATTGAATTAGGGAAAAAGAGAGCTCTGGTTTTGGTTTGGTAATCTGTTTTGGCAGAGACTCTGGGTTAAGGTTCTGGAACCAGCGTAGAGAGAGAAAATACTAAATCAGTGTGTCGCTCATCGTAAAGCCTGAAACTGAAGAAACCAGGTGTTCCTAAAATTGTGATCACCTAATTGGACAATCGTTAAAACCCATCAACCTCCACGACAAACTAATCAGACGTGATTTAGTGACGGGTGAAAGCAGACGAAGAAAGAGAAGCGGACGGGAGAGATGGCAAACGTCAAAGTGACCATCCTGCAGTCGGTCTGAGGCTTATCAGATTTATGAGAATCAAAGTGCGGCGATTGGCCTGGAGGTCGATGACGAAATGAGTCATATTCTGGTAACCACGGTGATGCCAGTTGAGTGACGAGGGCCGTGATAGGCTGTAATCCGTCCATTAAAATGGATTAAAGACAGTAGAGCGGCACCGAGAATCTGCATGTGTGTGTCTGTGCGTGTGTACACATGTGGCCTGATTCCTGAGACAAAATTTGTACACTGCCATTCGCCTTTTTACTGCCAAACACACACACACACACACAC